ATGTAGTTGTAAATCTCTATGAATACTCTACAGTAATTAGTCTTTTGTCACTGCAACCACATGTAGTCCGACCAAACTATATCTCCACAGTTGCTCAAGCATTGTTATTATTATTATTATTGAGTCATTTTGTTATTATTGATATGTCATTGTTTTGGTTGCTGCTCATGTCTTTTATTGGCTAAAATAAAATTTTAGCATAGCAATGTAGTTTTTCAGGCCTAAAGAATAACAGTGGTCATATAGTACAGGCTAGCATTGAAAGGCTACTTCATAAAATAGATGTATGTTAAGGGAGCAAGTTAAGATAGCACTTTCTATCTTAACACAGTTAATTTTGGAGTGTGAATTAGTCGTAAAGACTCATTATTTTGTGTTATAATATGTAGCATTAATGTTACAATAATGATAGTATGAGAACTGATTGTAGCTTTTTGCAATTAAATACATGTATGTGTACTGTATTGAGTATTTTAACTTTTATAGTTTCATCTTTCTTTTTTAGATCTCGTGAGCATCGTGGTCATGTCTCTCAATTTAGCTCTGATTTGCCTTTTCTTTCTTCTACTCGAAGAGATAAAGTTATATCATCTATTGATACGGTGCTACTTATACCGGCATTGTTAGTGAAGGCTCACTATCAAAATATCATAAGTCATTCATTTGTATCTGCTCATCTTTCTCCATCTAAACTGAAACAAGATCATGAATTAATTGAGAATGATTTAAAAACTTCTTCTGATGACAGTAGCAGCTGTAATAAATCAACTAAAAAAGGCATATTATTGATATCAATGATCATTTCTCCTTTGCCTCATGATTTAGAATTACATCCTAGCTTACTGGATTTTGTGGAACAAGTTGTACGTCCCATTAATCTTAATATTATCCCACAAAAAAATGAAACTGACAATGAAGATGATGATGATTCATTAGTCAAAGAATCTTCGTTAATTGCTTCCCCAAGTTCTGTTCAATCTTTGTCATTTCCTGTAGACGTCAACATTACATTCACAATTCACCCCTCAAAAATATATTTGACTTGTAATCCTCATGCACATGTCAAGTGTCTCATGGAGATACCTACTGTTAATTTTGCGATATCATTTTCTCTATTTGAAAGAAAGCAGTTTGAATGTATGCCTGTTGATTGCTCAGTAGCATCTTCTACTACACCAGATGACACTTTTATATTAAATAATCTTCACATTACTGGGTGTTTTAAGACATTTGCTTTAGTGATGTACACACCATCACCATCAGTTCAAGCAAGTACTGCACAGGACGATACTTCACATAGAGGCTACAAAGAAGCATTCAACTTGGTTTTAGGACAGGCTTTCATACATTTGAGTCGGAAAAGTGTTCATGAAAATGTTTTATGCAAAACCTCTGAGAGCATTTGTGTTCAAGAGAAGCTAAAAGTATCAGGTAAATTATAATTGTATTTACTTAATAGTAAAGAGTGATGTTATTGCAATTGAATATGTGACACCATTAATGCATTGACCTCGCCAAGACAAAAAAATAATTGTTTAAATGTATGATTTTTTTGCAAAGCCTTTACCAATGAGAATATTTGTCTGTATGTATGCATGCATGCATACGTTTGGGGGTGTGATTAGGTAGTGTGGACAGAACATGGAGCCCCTCAATGTTTTACATTCCTTTAGTAAAAATAATTTGTCCTGCGTAATGCCACTGTAGGTATTAAAAGTTGATTGAATGCTGTATAGTTCTGGTTGCATTGTTCATAGTCTAATTTAGATTTGAGGGTGTTTGGGTGTGGCTGCAAGCTAAAAGCATACAGTTACCACAGTACAGGTGAATGCAACATTTTTTGCAACAATAGGGAATCTTCTTTTTGTTTCTTATAAGAGAGTACCAGCTACATAGTTATTATCCTCAGTAATAAATCACCCACTTAACAAAATAAACCAAGTGAAACTCTTTTTGCATGGATTATATGATCTCTTGTACAGAGAAAGTGCATTTTTGATTGCCTAGAGTTGTCACAGATTCTGATTGTTAGAGTAAAATAGTGTTTCGTGGAGAAACTGCTGGAAGAAGCTCAAGTTTCTTGGACTTCTACTCAGTGCACAATGCACACACAGTCACACACACATTTATTAGGATCTATTTTTTGCACGTCAAGCATCTGAAGTTTATAGACTTGGGCTACTCTTTCTAAGGACAAGCGCCTAATGTAAAGTCGAGAGGCAAGTGATATTTACGTAATCATAATCATATCTTTAAGTTCAATAGAAAATAAGTGCCAGCAGAACACTGTGTTAGTTTAGTTATTTTTTGTCTCTAGAAATATTTTGAAGCCCTGTTACTCAAAAATCCATCAAGAACCTGTTACATTTGGCAAAATTGATGGTTTTGTTGCCTTTCACTGACATTTATACTTAATAAAGTAGTGGAAAGTAACTTTTTCTAGCTCTTGAAAAAGTTATGGTGACTTTAGGGGGACCTTTTTTAACACCACAAAGCCTAAAATGAGTGTTGCAGGTGGACAGAACGAATAAATGAATGAACAAGAGCACTCAAGTGCGCCACAACAATTATGATCTGCAGTGTAGCTGCAAGTTTTATGAATTATTTGCAGATTATGATTAGGTCTATAATGACTGGAATGCCTTTACCACTGAAACATTCCCATCCTATAAAGAACTATTTATCACCATTTGCTTAAATTGTGTTCATCTATGTAATAATGATAGGTGTAATGCACTATAATTTGTCTACATTAATATAGGGAATTTTTAATGCCTCAGTAATTGGGGCGCATTATATTTATATTATAGGTGCCTGGCACTAGATGGTTCGTATAGTAATGAAGGCAGTATAACAATGACCACGTTATTCACAATTGCCATAACTTATGTAGGAGTGATCTAATGACTTGAAGCCCTAAATTCTTCCTACATTTTAAGAAATAAGTCTATTTTAATGAATGGTTCAGCCCATTCTCCAGAAAACCTTCATCTGTTGCATTGCAGTCCATTTTAAAGTACAAAAAGAATTACCTGGCTAAAGAGAGCTCAGTTAAGCTTTATATAAGGCTGTACAAGGTAAGGTAAATGGGTTACAAGCATTTAAAAATTATAAAAACAATAGCCATTTTGAAAAATCAATCTCAATCTTACATATAGGCTACAAAAAATGTGACTCAGTGACATTTTGAGAATTTGACAAATTGAAGTGTTTTTGTTGAATTTCAGCTTTGTAGTGTCATACATATAGTGCTCAGCAGTAATAGGTGTTATTATACCTTCCATGCAGTTGTTTAGTTCTTTGAACTTAGACTAATTTTCTGTCTGATTATTTATCTTCTGGTCTGGGAAGGGCAGGCTGTATTGGTTTTTAAGTGGTTGATTCTGTAGTTAATAAAATTGACCGTTCCTGCTAATTTCACTGTCTCTGCTGAAACAAGTGCACTGTAGCATATGCCCTCGCCATAATCAAATGTGCATTATTTGAAGTAAAAAGGGCTTTGTATGCCCCACAAATCCCCAAAGCCCCTCCAAGAATAATATTAGATGATTACCACTTGTCTCGCTGAAATTAAACTTGCCCTTAAAAGTGAATTTTTTTGACTAAGCTATTGTGGGTGCACTTCCACTTCCTTAATCTGAGGCACCACCTATTTCCATTATAATTAGTTTATGTAGGTGTCCACTAAGCACTTGTTTACCATGAATGCAATTTACATGTAAACGTTATAATACCCCCGCTAGGGATACAAATGCAATGTATCCCACAGCGGGGGTGTTATCAACATATTTGTGTAGTAATGAGTGGGCGTATTAAAGGCGCGCGCCAGTGCGCATGCTTAGTAGCACCACACCTCGTGGTAAAATGGTAGCAATGGAGGACAGGAGGCTCAGAAAAAGGCACTTTTATCAACTGATTCAGGCTTAGGTTGACATAATCTTACTATTTTCAGGCTATAATGTCTGGAAGAGGTCCAGAACAGAGATCCTGCGCTTGCTGACCAGCCATGTATTGATCTTACCTTCCCCGTTCATCTTATTTATTATTGAGGCTTATACCCAATTTACACTGCACGTTTTTAACCTAAGGTCAACAGAACTAGGTTTAGTCCTTCTATTTAGCCCCTGTTTACACTATAGCTATTATACAAAGTTTTTTTGGGTGGAGAAATTATTGTTAATAGTTAATTCAGTAGGATAAAATGGAGGTTCAACTCATGAAACAGATCCTGATGAAAAAGCAAGCTTATCATCATTCTACCGTCCGATATTCTTTTCTGAAGAGGTTAAGAAGGTTTAGATTGATGCAAAAGAGGAAGAAATCGATTTTTCTGATCTTAATACTGGTAACAACACTGTCATCTCAACTTCATGTAGAAAGATCTTTGTGGGTGAAAGAAAGGCAGTCTAACTTTTGGCAATACATTGTGAATCGTACTTTCAATAATAAGGACTGGTATGAAAACTTCAGAATGAGAAAAGAGACTTTTATGTACTTATGTAAAGAGTTGGATAAAGAAGTGCGTAAAAAAGATACTCACCTTCGTTGTGCCATCACTGTTGAGTTAAGAGTTGCAATTACAATCTGGTTTCTCTCTACTGGTACACCGTACCGAGTTCTGGCACATTTATTTGGTGTATCCAGATCATCTATTTGTCTTATTATCAGGCAAGTATGTACTGCAATTGTTAAAGTTTTAATGAGGAAGTACATCAAATATCCGTCAGGAAGTGCTCTTATTTCTGTAATAGATGGTTTTAAGGCTAAGTGTGGGTTTCCTAATTGTGGAGGTGCAATAGATGGTAGTCATATACCCATCTCTTCACCTGTGGAATTTCATAGTGACTACTACAACAGAAAAGGATGGTACTCAATGATAATACAGGCAGTAGCTGATCATAAGTATCGTTTTCTGGACATTTATATTGGTTGGCCTGGTAGTGTGCACGATGCACGTGTTTTTGTTAACTCTCCCATTTATAATAAAGGGATGGATGGAAATTTATTTAATGGCCTAACAAGTAATGTTTGTAATACAAATCTGCTAATAACTTTACTTGGAGACTCTGCATATCCCTG